TCAACAATGCGTGTAAAAACCGTCCAGAGCAGATTGGATTCAGTCAAAAGAGGCGCAGCAGTGCCTATTGAAACGCACTGAACAATGACGTTCAGTGTCGAGTAGCCTGCGGCAATGGCGCGCACAACAAGCGTGTCGTCGGATACCAGGTCATGCAATGCGTTAAACAGAGCCAATCCGTATTCGCGGAAAATGGCCTCGCCGTCCAGCAGCGCATACGCCTCAACAACCTTGAGCACCGTCTTAAACGTCTCTGTGCTGTGCTGCAAAAGGCTGGGAATGCACCGAATCAGCTCGCGGATGCTGGGATCCAGTCGGGTGGCATGGCGAATGAGCGCCAGCCATAGCTCAAGACCATCTTCCAAAAGGTAGACGTGAGCTGGGTTATCGAGATCCACGCTGTGCTGCACCAAGGGTGCGACAAAATGCTGCAACTCGACGGATTGCGCGCCCAGGGCGTTAATAAGCGTCGTCACCAGGCTCAAGATCGTCGTCTGGTACATGTTTTCCTGCGCGGCGCTCTGCCACAGCGGCGGAATGAGCCGCACGATGGACGCTGCGTATGGCACGATGTCGCGCTGCATACGACCCACGAGCGTGCTCAAAAAGTTGACGATGCGTATGCGGCTCTCGGCCATCGTCAAGTCGCCCAGAATACCAGTGATCCGCTCAATACTTGGCTGCAGGAAGGGTGCAAACTGGCTGGCATCAAAGTCCCAGTCGTCTACGCAGCGCAGAAGGCTACCCAGGGCCTCCATGCGCACAACCAGCGGCTCGCTTGGCTGGGCCAGCTCGAGCAAAATGGTGTATGCATATTCGCGCTGCTCAACAGGGAACTTGACCGGGATCCATTTGCCGATGAGCCATGCGACTCGCCACTTAACAACGCCCATGGGCGAATCGACACAGGGATGCGCCTTGAGCCACTGGCAAAAGTCGATTTCGTCGTAAAGCTGGTTCGCACAGAGCCCCAGGACGGCATAGAGCCCCTCTTGGCGATACAGCTCTGCCTCGGTGGTGGGAGCGGCGAGGCCGGTCTGCTGCAGCAGCCTACGGAGCTGCGGCACCATCTGGGCGCGGTTCTGGTCGACCAGGTCGACAAGCAGACGCATGGCGCTGCGCCGCACGTCAAACTCCCAATAGTCCGAATCTTCTTCCACCAGCCAGGCCTCCGGATCTTCTTCCCACATGGCAAAGTCCTTTGGCTTGAGCGGGATGTAGAAGGCCATCATCGTCTCGGCGACCTGCGAGACAAAGTCAGGAACCATGATTGTGCCGTCGATCACGGCTCTGCAGCGCTTGACGTCGCTGTCCTCAGGGTTGTTTTCGTCGGTTGTGTAGAAAAAGTTTTTGACGGTGTTGCGGTAGAGAACGATGCCCTGGATCAGCAGAGGCTCGAGGATCAGCTCGGGGGCACCGTCGGAGTCTATCGGCGATGATGTCAGCTTCGGGGCTTCGCTCTGGATCTGCGACCAGTACCAGGCCAGCATGGGCTTTGCGCAGTCGAGCAGGATGAAGCGCACGGCGTGGTATTTCTGAAACTCGAGATACATCTTGCCGTACAAGAGAACAATCTTGCGCAGCACAATGCCGTCAGCCGAGTCGCGGCTGGCGGGCGGCAGAGCACGGAACAGGTCGTAGAACGCGGCCTGGTGCGCCACTGTGGCAGTGTAAAACTCTAGCACAATCGGGCCTGTCTCGTCGATCTTTTCAAAGCCATAGACGACCAAACGACGCAGGGTTTTGATGCACATGCGGATAGACTTTAGCAGCGGCTGCGACTCGGCCGACTTTGTCTGCAGCGCATCGTTGAACTGGGCGATGCGCCGCGCGTATATGGGCGCCACAAAGGCGAACGCTATGGGCGCGATCCGCCTGAACTCGCGACGGTCGACTGGCAGCAGGCGCTGGCAGAAGGACTTGACAAACAGGTGCAGCGTGTACAGGACGTTGTGCTCCATGATGTAGCGCCGGTCCGCCGACACGCCTGTGTCCTCGACAATGGCCCTGGCCCGAGCAAGCAGCACGTCGGTGAACTCTGGCCAGGCCCGCGGGAACTCCCAGCGCGCCACCCGCGACACGGCCACGCAGTACTGTACGGCAAGCAGCGGGTTCTCCTCGTCGAACACGTCAAGCAACTGCGGACGCACGGCGAGCTTCTCGTCGATGTGTATCGGGTTCTGGGCGGACTTCTTCCAGTACCGGTCGACGCCGTTTTTGAAGTTGATGATGGCCAGCCAGCGCACGTTTGTCGGCAGAGATCGGTCGGCGAATATGTCAAACAGCGTGGCGTGGAACATGGGTTTGGACTCGCACTGCTTGAGGTTGGCCTCGGCCTCGGCAACGCGGGCCGGGTCCTGTGAGGCAGCCTGCTCAAGCAGCGCAGCGACCGTCTGTCTGGATTCCATTGCGGGAGTAGAGGCAATTGGCGGTTAAATTGAAAAAGCGAAAAAAGAGAAAAAGGGCTGGGGGCGCGAAGGGCCGCCCATAGGCGCTTTTTGAGCGTGCTTGCTTGCTCGCTAGCATGCAGGCGGGTGGTGCGTGCGATCAAAGCTTGCTTTGGGGCGGGGACAAAATCGGCATTGTGTGAGCTAGAGCGGCTGGTCTGGCCGGAGCGGCCCGAGAGCTGTGTGCAGGACGGACGGTGCAGCCGTGACTCTGGCCCGGCCGCGCGCGCAAGAAGGGGCTAGAGGCGGGGGACACGGGGCGGCCGACAAGCAGGCTCACAGCACACGCGCGCTAGCTGTCACCGGGTGCCCCTGCAACGGCGCCTGCCGCCCCAGCCGGCCCGGCACCACTGGCCGCCCCACGTGCCGTCCAATTGGCTGCAGGCGCCCGCGGCTACCGCCGACCGGCATGCACTCTAATCTCTGCTGGCCACCACACACCCGCATCGCAATCGCCGCGCCCCCAAAAAGCGCCCTGGCGCCTGCTGCTCCGCCTATGGCGCCTCGCCACTCAGGTCAAAAAAATTTGCACGCACGGCTCGGCGCCTCTGCCCAAAGGCACGCCTGGTTGGAGCGTGAGAGTGCTGCGCGCAGCCGCCAAGTGTGCGCGGCGGCGGAGGGGCCAAGCGCCCAGCACCGCCCCCATTCGCCCGCCAGAGCATGGGGCAGCCGCAGCGAGAGGACTGCTTTTCCGACGGGCCCCTCCGCGGATGGCCGCATGCACCGGCCGCGCAGGCTAAAAGGGCCTCGCCGCCCTCCCATTCCGGAACGGGATCCTCTTTGCTTCTCTGCTCTGCAACAACATCGCCCTCGCTTCCTTTATCGTATCTCCCTTGTGTTTATTCGCCGCGCCGGATTAAATCACCCGCCTTGCCGCTCAGTGCTATCGCTTGATAATCATCGCTCGCAGAGCTTTTTTCGCCTCCCCACCTTGCCGTTTGACAAGCCCTGTGCCTCGCTTAAAGAAGAGAGCCTGCAAAGATACCCGGTAGTCTGCTGCAGCCTTCTTCTTTCCTGGTCTCGCAACCCGTGTTAGCTTTCTGCCTCCAATTACACAACCACCTGGCCTCTGAAATGTCGAGCAACTCGATTCGGATTCTCGCTGGCAACTCGCACCCGGCCCTGGCCAAGCTCATTGCAAAGTAAGCACGCCCGCCCTCCCCCGCCCAGCCCCTCGTTCAGCCACTTTGAATTGCAAAGACGGGGGCCATTATCTGCCAAGCGCCTCCCTGACAGCGCTGCGCTGTGCCCTGTTCTGTCCCGCCCGCCCTGGCCTATTTGGCGCTGCCCCCTTTGCGCCGGCCGCCGGGCATGCCGTATAAGAATGCCCACTGATAAGCCCCTCTGCTTTGACGCCCCACTTCTCTACTTTTAGGCGCCTCGGTACCGATCTGGCCAACGTCACAGTCTCAAAGTACTCGAACCAGGAGACCGCCGTCACAATCGGCGAGTCCGTGCGCGACGAGGACGTGTTCGTCGTGCAGTCGGGGTGCGGCGAGATCAACGACCACCTGATGGAGCTGCTCATCATGATCAATGCCTGCAAGACCGCTTCGGCCCGCCGCATCACTGCTGTGCTGCCCTGCTTCCCATACGCGCGTCAGGACAAGAAGGACAAGTCGCGCGCACCCATCTCGGCCAAGCTGGTTGCCAACATGCTGACCGTCGCCGGCGCCGACCACGTAATAACCATGGACCTGCACGCCAGCCAGATCCAGGGCTTCTTTGACCGCCCCGTCGACAACCTGTACGGCGAGCCGTCCGTCCTGCGCTACATCCGCGAGAACATTCCCGACTGGAAGAACGCCATCATTGTGTCGCCCGACGCCGGCGGTGCCAAGCGCGCCACCTCGATTGCCGACCACCTCGACCTGGACTTTGCCCTCATTCACAAGGAGCGCAAGAAGGCCAACGAGGTCTCGCGAATGGTGCTTGTTGGCGATGTCAAGGACAAGGTCGCCATCCTGGTCGATGACATGGCCGACACCTGCGGCACCCTGGGTCTGGCCGCCAAAACCCTGATGGACAACGGCGCCTCGTCTGTCTACGCCATCGTCATCCACGGCGTGCTTTCTGGCAAGGCCCTGGATGTCATCAACAACAGCGTCCTCACCCGCGTCGTCGTCACCAACACGATCCCTCACGCCGAAAAGAAAAAGCTTTGCCCCAAGCTCGATACCATCGATGTTAGTGCCGTCCTCGCCGAAGCCATCCGCCGCACCCACAACGGCGAGTCTGTCTCTTATCTCTTTGGCAACGCTACCATCTAGATACCCAACCATCCAATTGTGTAGGAATTCCATACACACCTCACACAGTTAATCTTTGTCTTGATCTTTGTCCGGCCGTCCTTTTTCCAATATATCTTTTCTATACACATCACTATCACGGGCTCCTAGCAAATATATTAAGAACACAGCTTTGCCGTATTACCTGCCACCCACACAACCCGGCAAACGCTTTAGCAAACATGCAACAACGCTCCAACAGACGCATATTTGCTGGATCCTCCTATAGATTGTGGTTAAGCATTACTGCCAATGAGAAGCTCTTGCTTCTTTGGCTCAGTTGGTAGAGCGTAGGTCTCATAATCCTAAGGTCGTGAGTTCGAGCCTCACAGGAAGCATTGTTGCTTTTTTGCTTTTTGTCTGTATAATTTATTTAATTTTTTACTATGTGAAATCTATAAGTAGCGCTATAGTAAAAGTTTACTCATTGCTTAACTTTTTATAAATTTTTCCTGTTTTCTCTTTGAATGATATTGTACTTGATTCTCTTCGGGCCAGAGGGTGGCTCCTTAAAACGTATTCCTAGTACATGGTCAACATTACCTGTTTCCGTTTCAAGTTTGATACACGCATAAATCATTTTTCCATTGTTTAACTTTTTTAGGTTATCGTTACAACCCAATAAAATAAATTCTCCGACTTTACCTTTACTAAACTTGACAGGAGACGTTGACATCACGTTATTGAATTTTAGCCGTATATCATTTGTAAATTCCAATGCTGACACAGATTCTCTTTTTACTGTGTACACCGCCAGACGTTTGTCTTTTGATAATTCAAACGACTTGGGGATCCCGTATTTGTGCGAACTGGCATAGTCATAGCGAACTGAAGAAATTAATTTATATATTCAAGAGCTAGTTAATGCAGAGGAGTAGAATGTAGAAGTTGAAAGCAATGATAGTTAAACAAAATAAAAAACGGCGACGGCTACCTAGAGTAGGCTTTTTATACCCGCGGTAGCGACACCTTGTTTTTTTCATTTTTCAAATTATACCAGCCATCTTTATGTTTAATCCAGCTAGGCGGCTATTTTTTGCTTTCTATTTCTTTTGTGCTAGTTTTCATCAGATTGTATAAAAGCAACTTTCTGTCTCTTTCAAACAATAAACTTAACTTTATATAAAGAAAAATGCCTGTTCTAGAATACCCCCGTGTAAATTTTTTAGGCCGAAGCCGGAATATCCGAAACATCAGATAAACTAACCTTGTGGTTTTTAGTCAAACTAGCTATTTTATACAATTTAAAATGTTGCATAATCTATATAGGATAATACACCCGTGACAGAAACTATGGCTGTTGTACCACCAAGTCAAAGTCGAATTGGAATAATATAAATAAGGCTTCGTAAGTACACCCGAGATGTATTCGGGGTCGACTCCTTTAGTCTTCATTATCCTCATAAAGTATTCCTTTAATGCAATATATCTATACAACAGTGGCTGTCTGTTATTAAACTATAATTACTAATAATATCGTTTGTTACTCCATAACCACATGTTGTATTATAATGTTGGCATAGTTGCTTGTGGTTATTTCTGACATTGCACATAGTCTGCAGCAACCATTTTTCAATCACACTTAGCAATAAAAATATTATTAAAATTGTATTTTATTGAGATCTATATTTTGTTAATACGTTAAAGTTACTTTGGATATAAAGTTACATGTTTTAAACAATAGTTGCCCTGCTATTACAATTCAGTTTTCCAAAGCTCCACAAAACGAGTTTCACAGCTTTTTCTATAGATGATTATATTTTTGGTACTACATAGGGTGATTATTGCGATTAATATAAATAATTCACTCGAATATGTTACATATAGCTACCAAATATGATAAATTGCTAATTATAATTTAATTTTGCATCAAAAAATTACTAGTTGACTGCTTTTGTATAAAGCTGTTCTTTGTATACTTTGTACAACTTTCATATTTGCTTACGCAGTTTTAAAAATAGAAAAGGCGAGACACACTTTGTACAATAAAAAAACAGGAAAGTGACTTTGAATACTGAGCAGAGCAAAAATGAAAATTGGCAAGCTAGCGTCCACTATAAATTAAAACGATTTTGGACGAAAAAATATTTTGTTTTCATTCCTTACTTTTTCTCCGCATTCATTTATTTCACAATATCCAGCCAAGCACATCAAGTTTAACAACTCATTTGTTCTTCATCATGGCAAGCATGAGCGTTACTAACTCGTCCAAAATCACTGGGTCTGTGGCCATAGGCAGACTAGACTACAACCTGAAAAAAAAATTTACAGTTGAAGATTGTGAAAATGAAATTATCCTTTCATATGAGGATTCTGTTGCTAAATATTTCAAGTATAGCAACACACGTAATGGTACTTATAAAAGTAAATCAAATAAAAAAGAAATTTTAAAAGATGAAAATAAGGAAAGACAAGCACTTTTCGTCAAGTATACACTTGTTCATGATGATAGCTCACCTGATGAATCTAAAATCGTGGAGTTTAGGTTTACTAATAGAATGTAAATCTTTTATTAGGAAATTGTCACATACTTTGAAACTGGCGGTTGATCCTATATAAACATGTGCTTCTGAAACACCATTTCTAAACTAAATATTTTGATATTCACTAGTTTTAAACATAGGTCTCAATACATATGGCACATTATAATATTACACAAAAAAAATAAATAACGGAAAAAGCAAAAAACAATGCTTCCTGTGAGGCTCGAACTCACGACCTTAGGATTATGAGACCTACGCTCTACCAACTGAGCCAAAGAAGCAATTTTGCCAAGGTTAAAATACAGACGTTAATGAAACCAATAATAGCATAACTGCGATATGCTTAAGTATGAGCTTTTTTGTATCCAAGGGAGGCATTGGAGGCCTATTGTTAAGAGTGTCGGTTATAAGCACGCGCCGTGGCAGGATAATTTCAAGCAGACGGTGGAGTTGCTTGGTCGGCGATGTTTTGCGAGGAAGAGATAGAGTGGCGACCGTTGTAAGCGGTGGTTCCAGAATCCTTGATGGGTCACAGACTCTCTAGCGAGCGAATATAGTGTGGAGGCGGGCGATGACAGGAGGGATGAGCAATCATGATCGACATCAGCAAAGATGGGCAACGCTATAAAGGAAAAAGGGGGCTTCTAAATGAGCGGGTGGATCAAGAAAGTTGTAAAAGCTGGGATGGTTAATTACTGATTGTTGGGGGGTTGGTGAAATGGATGATTGCTGGAGGGGCGAGCAGATTGGTGGGATGGACAGGCAGTAAAAAAGGGCCAATGGGAGACGAGTGAGATTGTGAGTGGGTGGCAATGGTGCGTGTAAGGTAGAGAAAAAAAAGCGAATTCGTGTATGGTGACTGGACAGGCGGTTTGGAATGGGTATTTATTTGAAAAGCCGCGCAAAGAGGTGGGTTTCTTATTCTTTCTTTTTTCCTTCATTGTGGATATTCTGGTATTTTTTTGCATCGCTCGGTACTCTCCCCACTTTTCGCTTTTCCCCCTTAAACCTCGTATAAGGCCGACAGGCTTTTTTATTATCTTCTATGCATCATCTGTAATAGAATACTCGGCAGTATATTGTGAGGAGAGAAGCAAACCTTGATACTATTTGTTATTGCCATACGTAAACTAGTCTTTATTGTTACCACACATCATTCCTATTTTTCGCTGCTCTTGACGGTTTGAGAATGGGTGATAGCGGCGGAAAGAGAACCGAGTACAAGCTTCCGAGCATTCGCGCACTGACTGGCGACAGCCCGCCAGTGTCGCTAGCTCCTGTTGCAGCGACAGCAACATCGATAGAACCGCATGGGCAGCAGCCAGGGCATGTACTGCAGAAGCGCTACGAGCAGCAGCATCATCCACTCCCCCAGCAGCTGCCACATGCCTCTCAGCAGCAGCAGCAGTATCTGGGTGGTAGGTACCCGCAGCACAGCATGGGGCCTGGGGTCTCAGCACCTGCTCCCGGGCAGCCAATGATTCATTATGGGCCGCCAAGACCCGGCTACAGCGTCCCGGCGACAGGCCCATCGGGAGGTCCGGCGGCATATGGCGGACCACCGGCTGTTTCGATGGCGTATCGGCAGAGACGGCCATACGCGTATGCTGAGCAGGCGCAGCACGCACAGCACACGCAGCATGCGGGTATTGGGCAACACTCACTGCCGCCGCCAATGCCACGCACCTCGTCGAGCGGCGATGCGCCTGTGTCGGCGCCCCCGGGGCTAATGCAGCCAGGGCCGCCGGAGCACTATCGGCAGCCAAGCAGCGGATACGTGGGGTACGGCGGACACCCAGGGCAATACGCTGGCGAGCCGCCGATGATGCGGGCAGGGGACGGTGGGGCGGCGCGTGCCGGGCACCCGATGGGCTATGCGCCAGCGCACTACTACCCGGCCTACCCGCCGGCCAGCCGGCCCATGGCGCCCAGCGGCGAACAAGCACCCATGCGGCTACAGCAGCCCGTAACAGCTCCCGCACAGTACACAGCAGCAGCGCCACCACCACTATCCGCGTCATCCTCGGTACGCGGCATCGAGCGACCCCCAGCCTCAGCTTCGCCACTAGCGCCCGTGTCGGCTTCAGGTGATGCGCCACAAGGCTTTGAAGCAACAGACTCCGAGGACAACGACGACAACCTAGCAGGAGACGAAGACGATGCTCTACTCAAGCGGCGAAAGCGCAATGCACAGAGCGCGGCAAGACTACGCGAGCGACGCAAGACGCGTGAACAAGAACTGACGTCGAGCTGCACAAAACTAGAGTCGCAGATCACCAGGCTACAGGACGAACTGGGTGATGAGAAGAGAAGAGCCAGAATGGATTTAAAGCGTGGAGCGAAACGCGCGTGGTCGACAAACATGGATGGCGAGGGTGACGCGGTTATGGCTGAGAGCTCTACAGCAGCAGCGGCTACGGCGAGCAAGCGGCGGAGTCGTCCCTTGCGAGAGCTGGACCAGGTGCGTCTGGACGATCTCAAAGGAAAGATCGAAACCCTGGGCAAACTCAACCAGCAGGTGTGCGTCAACCTGGGGGTGCTCCGCCAAGAGATCCAGCGCATCTCGCGTGCCGTCGTGTCGCAGAGCGAGCGGCGGCGTGAGGGCGTAGCTGCCTCTTGACGCAATCAAAAGCAGCCCTTTTCCTTCCCAATCACATGGCTCAAAACAACAGACTTTTCCATTCCACAAAAAAAAGACAAGACACGCCCACCTTTTTCCTCGGGGCTTTTTCTCTTCCCACAACTGCCTTTTTCAAGCCAGAACCTTGTCATTTGCCATTTTCTCATTAATATTTTACACGCGACATTCAGCACTAATTCCCTGCAATTCTTTCTCTAGTAACAAACCTCCCTCA